GCAGCACACAGTAAAAACTGCCAGAATGCACTTTGCATTCACTTTCAGGTGGTATATATTCATAGAAATTTCTCTCCGTGTAAAGTAACTTTTACTATACTTTAAGAGTAAAACCGAAACTGTCCACAATTTCTGCGCATTTCTGTTAATTTTTAATCCAAAAATAGTAAAATTTACTATTTCCGGAATAATTTTTACTATTTCAGAAATAAATTTTACTATTTCTGGAGTAAAAATTGCCAGAAATGCGTAGAAACTGCGGATAGTTCTAGTTTTATTCTTAAAGTAGTAAAAGTTACTTTATTCGTTTTTTCATTTTTCTCCGTGTAGGACTGTATTTAGGATTTCTTGTCATAGAAAAAATTCACCGAAACAAGTTTAAATTTTGAATGAATAGACATTAATTCTGAAATTTTTCTTTTCCTAAAAGTAAACGCCCGAGTCGAAATTTAGACTCTCTATAAGTTCTCTAAAAACCTCCTTTTATCCTCCTTTTATTCTCTCCAACACTTTCATACCCTCTTTTCGACCTCGAATTTGCAAAAGTGGAAATATCTGCTATACTGGAGGCTGAAAGGAGGGTTTAAAGATGACTAGAGAGGCGTAAAAGATGTTAAAAAAAACAAAAAAAACGAAAAAATAAAATTAAAAAAATGTAAAAATTGGATTTTTTTTCTTAAGGACATTATTTATTGAGCCTATTGAAGATATATTTATTGGTCTTTGTCGTAATACTATAAAACTTTTAGGAGGAATAATATTTTGAAAAATTCAAATTAAGAAAAAATTCCAAGACCTCTTTTCAACCTCTAAACATGCAGATTTGGAAATAAGCGCATGATTTCAGGCTGAAAAGAGGCTGAGAAAATCGAGGGTGAAAAGAGGGAAAAATTTCGACTCGGGCGTCGAAAAAAATTTAAAAAAATTTTACTGTATTATAGGAAAATATTACAGTGTTTGGAATTAAATATACAGAGAAAATATAAAATTGAAAGTTTGTTATATGTCGAGATATATATATATATATATACATATATATATGACAAAATAATAGTGTAGGAAAAAAGGAAGAAGGACGGACGGTTTTGTTATTGTAGCGCTAATGGATGGGCAAATATGACGACACTACCGAAACTAAAACGGATGCCGACACTGTATATAGGAGTCGGGGATGAAAGAGTGCCACAGGTAACTGGTATTTAAAGTTTACACTGTCAAGATACACTTGTCCACTTCAAGTCATTACATTATACGAGATATATCTTGTATGACTATACATTTATTTGTGTGCTTTTTCAACAAAAAGAAAAAAAAAAACTTCGTTTGGTGATATTTCCGAAGGATTATATCTTATAAATTTAAAAAAATGAAAATTTTTCCAAAAAAATCCGCGGACTTTGACATTGATAAAAATAATTTTATTAATTTTTTATGGTTGGCAGTTCCGTATTTTGGAATTCTTGTGCCAATATTCTGAAATTATATTCTAACCATAAAAATGGATGTCAACCATAAAGTGTCTGTTCCGCAACTAGAAGACATCCATTTCTATATACCCAGAGCTTGCAGCAACCTTGCGGGAAGCTAGCCACGCAGTATTGCCAACCTTGCTCGGCAAACTTACTGCAAGCTTCAAATGTCCTACATGACGCTTACCGAAAGATTGCACTGTAAGGTTACTGCAAAATTGCACAATAAGATTATCGCAAGATTTCTGAGTAAGCTTGCACGGTTATCTTGTAGTAAGGTTGGTGCAAGGTTGCCAAATAACCTTGCTTAAAACCTAAAAAAAAAACTAGCAAGGTTATTTGGTAACCTTGCACCAATCTCACCGTGCAAGCTTATTGTGTAATCTTGCAGTAACCTTATACTGTAATCTTTCGGTAGGCTTACTGAGCAATCTTGCAATAATCTTATTGTGCAATCTAGCAGTAACCTAACACAGTAATCTTTCTGTAAGCTTATCATACAAGCTTGGGCCAAGCGGGACATTTAAAGCTTGCGGCAACTTTGCCGTGCAAGGTTGGCAATATTGCGCGACAAGGTTGCCGCAAGCTTACGTGCTATCTGGATATGGTTAGGACATCCATATTTTGGAACCCTTATGCAATTTTCAAAATGATGATTTCCCAAGCATAAAAATGGATATCAACCTTAAAATGTGTCAATTAAAAAATCCTAGGAAAGGCCAATTTGTAAAACATTTAAAAAAAATAAAAACTCCACAGTTGCCCTGACGTATTTATACAAAATAAATAAAAAAAAAAAAAGTAGTAAAAACTTGACATGGGGATTTTACTGAAGAGATGGAGGAGAAAGGATTATTGAGAAGGAAATACCATTGATGCAAAGTGAAAGTAATTAATGGAATATGCTTGAATAATAGACTGAACTCGATCCTGAGGTTCTTGTCGATTGGAGAAGGGCTCGTGCCGAGTGGGAGAAAGAGCGCGCCTGTTAAAGAGTGGGGGGAGGAAGGGGATGATGAGTGGAGGGGGAGGGGGTGTTGGAAGAAGGGGAAGGGAGACGGAACGTTATCATGGATTTAATTAATATTTCATTTGTATGCTATTTCTCGCCTTCAAAACCTACCTCCTCCCCCCCCCTTTTCCACCCCCTCAACTGAAAGAGCTTTCCGTCCGAATATATATCTGTATATCCACATTTATATATTCACACACAGACAAATTTGAACCGATTTCAGAGACAAATTTTAACAGCATCCCTATAAATGTGTGTGTGTGTGTGCAACGATGTATTGGAGCTTATAGTGTATACAACGAGGCACATCCAAAACAGGACAGGGAATGGAACAGACCAAGCTGTCTGTATTTCAATTTAGCACGTCCATTGTTAGATACTAATATTATTCAGTTGGGAATTGTTTCGCGACACCCTCTCTCTCGCATTCTGGCGAATGATTTCGATCGCGTTTACACACTCGCACACAATTATTAATATATATGTATACATTTTTGGGCTATTATTCCAGAGCTTTCCTGTATCTAGAATCAATGTCTGTTGATGATTATATAATCTCTCTCTTTATTGCTGAAATTATAAATATATCGAATAATGAAAAGAAAAAAAGGCTACAAAATCTAGGAAAAGTAAAATTTCAGAAAAAGTTTTGTAACGAAAATGAATTCATGCATTTTGAAGTCTAAAAAAAAACCTATATATGAAGATGAGAGACCGCTTTTAACATTTTTAACCTTCTTCAATATTGACTTTCACTTCGGGTGGGAATCATTTACTTAACCGCCTACCTGTATCGGTACACGTATCCAACTTTTCGTTCTTGTATTTATTATAATATGTAAACCTGCATATTATATATGTATAGACGAAATAACTTGACCGGCAGCGCGTTATGAACTTTTTCTTTTTCCTCGAAAGAAATAAAGTGTTGCCGAACTTGGACAAATATCGTTTCTTATTTACTTAGATTAAATAAAAAATTATTCATAACAAATAAACGCGCGTGATGGAAAAATTTTAATTTTATCCGATTTTCTAAATTTTCAAGTGCAAGAAATTCTATTTTAAATTGCAACATTTTTAAGGCAAATTAAGTCATAAAATTCATTATTTAAATTATAATTTGATTTGAAAAGATATATATACTGTTATTATCTGTTTCTTTGATATATATAAAAGTGAATGCTCGTCTCAAATATCTGCTCTATTCACAAAATGCCTTCGCACCCTCGCCAATCAAATGAGGCTTAACATTCCAGCCAAGCCAGTCAAGAGAAGATCCCTCATCTCCAAACGCTTCAAATTATAGAGAATAGACAGACTCTATTGTATGTAATAGACATAGTAACCCCGCTAAAGAACTAAATAGCAGGTGGTTCACGTCCCTAACATTATTATGAAATATACAACTCAACGGGGCGCATGTTTATTAGTTACACCCTGACAATTTCAAAATAAAATGAACTTATCTGGTGACAAATTAGAAAATTATCGAGATAGTTGAAAAACATTTTATTCAAAATAATTTATTAGAATTAATTTTAAAGAATCTTGTAATAATTTGAAAATTTTTATTTTTCAAACTTAATTGTTACAGAGGTCTACAAAATAAGACTATTTTTTGGATGAAGTGGTTACCAATGTATTTTTGTGTGCTGAACACGATTTCCAAAAATGTAGCACGTCAGGATTTTGACGTGGTCTTTTGCTCCTCCAAAACTGTGTTTTTGAGGGCTTTCAGTATTTTTTTTCTCCTTAATCCTACGTGCTAGAAGACTTCTATATAGGCTGAAATTAAAGCTTAAATCGTACACTTTAAGACCCATATGCGCAAGATGAAAATAATTGTGGTGCAAAAATGGTGGTACTGACATCAATAAACTTTTTGGGTGCCTTGAACCTAATTAAACCTTCTTAAAGTGTACGATCTATGCTTTCATTTAAGCCTATATAGAAGTCTCTATCACGTCAGGTTAAGGAGAAAAAAAATACTGAAAACCCTCAAAGTTTTTAGAGACTACCCCAACATTATTCAAAATTTTGACGCAATTTTGGAACCCGGGATCGTGTTCAGCACACAAAAATACATTGGAAACCACTCTGGTATCTAAAAGAAACCTATTCTCAATATAATTGTCAAACCCAATTATTTTTTACAAACTAATTTTTGAAATCAATTCCTACCAAAAATTTCCAGAGTCCAAGGCGGTTAATTTTTGATAGAGATTATTTTCGAAGCTAATTATTAAAACCAATTATAATTCAACAAAAGAAAATTCGAATATTAGGTTCAAAATTCATTCTGATTCCACTCGATTAGTTGTGAATTAATTTTATTTAATCGAATAATAAAATCTTCAAAAGGTTCAATTGATGCTAAAATTCGTCAACTGTCGCTTTGTCATTGATCTTGCTTTTATAAAAGGGCTTTCCTCTCAAAAAAGATTTGTCACTTATTTTATATACGGTTATAGGGAATTAAATGAAAATCCATATTCTACGATATATCAATAGTTCGTTTATTTGAGGTTTCCGGTCTATACATTCGAAATTCGTACACAACAAATTTACCTACAGAAAAATTGTTACTTAATTGTTACCAATTTTTTTTTTTTTTTTTTTTATAATCTCACTGTCAGCAGTCAATATCTGGTTAAACATCTTACAGAAATTTTACACGTATTAATTATTATTTTGCGTATACGTATTTTTTCAGTTTAGAGCGAGAATGGCAAAAAATTTTGCATACAGTTTTTTGTTTATGAAAAAGGAAAGTACAATTGTTTTTTGGGAGATTTTTCAATCATTCTTTGTACAACATACATATTCATATTCAAAAGCCTTTGAAATTTGATTTTAAGTAAAATGAAATCATATTTAATGACAAATTATTTTTAATTTTTTTTAGTTTCAAAGGCTTTCAAAATGAATAATTCTTTATCGTTTCAATGTGAAAAGCTTTCGGATTTCTAAATTTTTTGTCCGCTACTAGCATTCAACTAGCAAATTATTTACATTTTCAATTATTCACTACTTTTTTTTTGAATACGCTAACAAGTTCACCTACACACATTATTTATATACTCATCAGCAACTTATGTATACGTACTGCATTGAATTCTTCGTATCTACACACTTACATCTCTATTATATACTTACATTTTGTTGTAAATGCATTTATTTTTTTTTTCTAAGAACTTCTTGTTCTTGACAATATTTTTTTTTTTCGAGATATGTCATATGGACAAGAATCGTCCATAAAAAATTGTTTTTCCTTTTCACGAGAAATGGGAAACGCGCGAGATCACTTCCTTATGAAGGAATAATTTTCTTTTTGTATAAAATTATCCTTCTCGATTTACATTCACGAGCACCAATTATTGGATTCAAAAATTTATGTGTCCATTGATCCAATGTTAGAAAATTGTCCAAAAAGCATTGAAATGTATTTTTTTGGAACTTACTGATGTGTGATGAATTCAAGTGTTACAAAAAGGACCAGAATGAGGTCTGACCTGGTCCAGGTCACTCGGAATAGCTCGTTTTATCGCTGGCGTCGTCAGGACTAGTTTCTCGATATGCGTCGTTGGTTCCGTTAGGATGATTCGCTTGATTAGGTGGCCTAATGACAGTTGGCAGGTATCCTGTTCCAGTGTATGGTGCAGCTAGAAATCTATGCCTCGTTGGGGGACTTGGACCACAATATGCACTTCGCGTTGCATAAGCTGCGGTTGCAGTCGCAGAAGCTGCAGACGCAACAGCAGCCGACGCAAGGGCACCAGCCAATGGTGAAAAGGCTGATTTTGGTTGTAGACTGTCTTCACAAACCATTACTTCCATTGCCGATACTACGTCACCTGTAACATTTTTCATTGGTATAAGTACCTTTTTGAATCTGCATTTTAAATTAGCAGATTTAGGGTAAAGATTCTAAATTGTACAATACATGAAATTTTATTTTTTAGAGGAAAGGAAAATTCAAAGCACTATTTAAATAAAGTATATCTCACCTTTGCATCTGTGGAGTAGAGCTTCCACATCACTCCGTCGCCTTCCGGGAAATACTCGCAGCAGCACATCCACAGGTGACCTCTGCTGTTGCTGCTGTTGTTGCACTTGCAAACCACAAGGTTGTGGAATATTTTGCATCTGCATTTGCATTTGCATCTGTATTTCCCGCGGTTCATGAAGATGAGGATGTGGTTGATGCTGATACAACGCTGGTGAACAATATAAAGAACTAGCTGCTGGTCCATACAGAGGAGCATATGGTGAAAAATGCGCCGCGGCTGCTGCAGCTTGCTACGTATTTAAATGAAAAATCTTTATAACTCCCAAAAAAAATATTTAACTAATTATCAGTAAATAAACAGCGATCAACTTACAAAACTCACCGCTAATGAGGAGGGAGGCGAATTATGTCTTGGATTAACAAGATCCATTGCTTGTAGACTAGGTTGTGTTTGTGGTGGACTTCCAGATTTTCTAAGACTTAAATTCTCCGGCGCTGGGGTATCTTCTCTTTGGGGTGTTAAAGCTGGTGTTAAAGGTGGTGTATGTGTTGGACTAGGTGTACCAGGTTCTGCGCTACCATCTTCCGATTCATTGATACTGTTTTCACATTTTTGATTAACAATTACTTCTGGCTCATTAGTGGCCACTAAGTGTGTTGCATTTGGCGTTACATAACTCCGCGAATTCGAACGTGATCGTGAACGTGAACGAGATCTTGAGGGTGATCTTGATCGTGTACTGCATGCTGAATGTTTCATTTTAGTCGAAGCTCGATCACCAAGAATATCAGGACCTGAATCCGAATCTCGATCATCTTCCTCTAATGTATCAACTGAAATTCTCGCTCTTTTTGAACCTGTAGACATATATAATAATAATTTTGATTTATTGCGAATTCCATATATCACACAAAAAAAAAGTGAACAATTACAAGAGTTTTAAAATTGAGGGTTGAAAAGTCAAGCATTTTGCTGACCGCTCGTTAAAAACTTTTTATAAATGTCGGTTTATTATTATCATCATCGATTTAATGAAATGATTTTTGCCCATTAAATGTAGCGAGAGCCTCTTTAGACGAGTGCTGTTGCCTTATAAATAAGTGCTACTTTCATACATTGTATGTATATATGTATGTGCTCTTTATGGATGTGTATATATAACATAGAATCTGTGGGTTAATTCGTAGCAAAAGTAATGGTGTAGGAGGGAGTATACCCTCCCCCCTGTAATAGCTGTTTTACAAGTGGCGCGAGTAACTTTCAAGTGCCATTAGGAGAATAAAGTTCACATTCTATATAAACCACGAGTGGTTTTCCTCGTTAGGAAAGTGCAGTCAAATGGAAGCATTTAAAATGTTGCTCGCCTCGATTCTTTCTATTCTCGAATATTCGTACTCGGACGCCATTGTCGAAAGAAGATAACCCAGGCTTTCATACAACCCTCCTCCATTCAATGGAATACCAATGGAAAACCCAATATCGACAAACTCATATTATTTCATTTTTTTTATTTCCAAGAATAAATTTTATCTTCAATGGATAAAATTCCTTTTTTATATAAATATAACGGGACAGCATAAACTTTCTTCGAAATGCAATTTCTAAGTATTTATATAAGCATCTAATCAAAAATAATGGATCTTTTGGAATATAAAATTTTTCGTTGCTTTTTATGGTAGAACACTTCAAGATTTAACGCAGTATTGCGTTTCGTATTCTTCGTTTTCATAGAAGAAAGTATTTTTAGAATTGATAAAATAAAAAAAAATTGGTATACCTTTTGAAAGATATATAGTTACATCTAAAGATTGAGATCACAGGATTGGTGTAAAATCAGCTCTGCAATTATTTCTAACAACCCTCCCCCTTCTCGGGGGGAATCAAGTGGTTCAGAGACTCTCGTACGATCGATTAGTCTCGTTTGGCTCATTTCGTTGATGGCAGTTATGTTCAACTAGAAATTCGTTGTATTTTTGCACTGGATCATGTCGATTGAGAACCTCAATCGTCAAGTATCGGATACTCGAAACGAAACGCGCCTGAATACGAGCATTGGTCAGTTTCAATGGGCGCTCAATTTACTTTTTATACATATATACACACCAATTCGGCTTTGAGCTTATATATATTATAAATTACAAATAATTGTAAACGCAGACGCACTTGACTTTTTCCACATAATAAGTTTCCGATACTTTACCAAACTCAATTATACACATATTGAAATTCAATTTTATAACTGCACATAAAACCTATATAAATTTTTATTTGATATTGATATATCAGAAATTAATTAAAATCGTGTTTTTATCGAACAAAAGTCATTAATTGAAGCCTTTCCCGCCTTCTTTGGTATTAATAAAAATGTGACTGCCTTTTTTTCCCCCCGTGAAGTTTATATTAAGTGGATTCTCTCGGCTGTTCGGGCGGGTAATAGAAAACGTGTAGAAGGCAGGTATAAGAGATACACGTCCTCTTTGTTTGTGTTTTGCGACCCTTCACAAGGAGAGGAGAAAAAGAGGGATGCTGTTTGGAAGTGTATTACAATAAGTTTGTAGGCACCCTCTTCGAAATTCAAGAAGTACTGCGCTTTGGAAAAAATGCGAAGCGAAACCTTAAAAGTAGAAAAAGAAAGAAGATTGACGATCATATTTCAGTGTGTGGCGATACGTTTTTTTTTTTTTGCCTCATTCGTGTTCGACATTGTGTCGCCCAAGATGATAAAAAAAAAAGTTCACTGGCTCGCGCGCCTCAAGAACCCCTTTTCTCAATTAACTCATGTCAGAAAACTTTTGGCCTTTTGCCATTTTCGATATCGATTCCAAGGATTAATTTCCCCGACATAGAGAAAATTGTGTTGTGCAAAGAATCGAAAAAGAGACAATTAATTTTATGCGAGGGGATGACTTATGGCAATAAAACGAATGTATATACGTGCTTGAAAGATAAGTGTCAGAGAAACGCGCTTGGAATGTAGCTGTCAATTCTTTGGTTACCACCCCTTTGGAGAAAAAAGGGGGAGGAAACGTACGTACGTGCGTGCGCACAAATAAACTCAAGTGTGAGTGGACATCCCTCTCAAATATATGGAGAAAGAGAGACAAAATACCCTGGCGACGGCGGCGACACTTTAATAACCGTCGCTTAATGTTCACTGTACGCGATGAGGAAAAACTATTATCTCGTAGCAAAAATGATATATATATATATATATACATATACTTCCTGTCACTTTTCCGTTATGGATCGTACACAACAAGGCATCCTTCCTTAAGTGATATCATTATATAAAGTCTACATTAAAAAAATTTTTATTACATTCTTTTTTGATGACAAGTCCTTCCTCACTGAGGAGAAAAAAACATCTTGGACTTTGGTATTTTAGCAAGAATTGTCCAGCCAAAGGAATACTGTTATTGAAACACTGCGGTTTTAGAAACCAATGGATTAGCAGAAATCATACTAAAACAGAAGGTTCCGTACAAACTTGATATTTCCAATGATTTATATCATCGAATTCTTCAGCTTCTGTTATCTGAAGCTTTGGATGAACTGTACTTTTATCCAAACCAAGATCTGATCGAATTATTTCGGATGATCGAAGTTTTACTAAACTGTTAACAGAAGAATTAAATCTGATGGTACCAAAAATAGATGATAGGAAAAACAGTTGACAAAAACCTGCTGAAGCTTCTGTTGATGACTTTATTATCCGAACCAGGATCTGGTCGAATTAATTTGAATTATCAAAGTTTTACTAAATTCTCAACAGAAGAATCAAAATTGATGGTACACAAAATTAGATGGTAGAAAAAAGTTTACAGAAAACTGCCGGAGTTTCTGTTACCGGATGACATTTATCCAAACCAGGATCTGGTCGAGTTAATTTGGATTATCAAAGTTTTACTAAATTCTTAACAGAAGAATCAAAATTGATGGTACCCAAAATTAGATGGTAGAAAAAAGTTTACAGAAAACTGCCGGAGTTTCTGTTACCAGATGACATTTATCCAAACCAGGATCTGGTAGAATTTGTTCGGATAATCGAACTAAATTGTTACTTGTAGAATCAAAACTGATGGTACAGGTGGTTGAAAAAATAGTTTACTGAAAACTTCTTAAGCTTCTGTTATCTGATGACATTTATCCGAACCAAATATCTGGTCGAATTATTTCGGATAATCAGTTTTACTAAATTGTCAACAGAAGAATTAAAATAAAACCAAAAAGTAGATGCTAGGAAAAATAGTTTACAAAAATGAAGCTTCTATTGATGACATTAATCCGAACCAGGATCTGGTCGAATTAATTCGGATAATCAAAGTTTTACTAAATTGTTAACAGAAGAATCAAAATTGACCAAAACATAGATGCTAGGAAAAACGCAGTTTACAAAAACCTGCTGAAGCTTATTCTATTGATGACATTAATCCGAACCAGGATCTGGTCGAATTAGTTCGGACAATCAAACTAAATTGTTAACAGAAGAATTAAAAAGGAACCAAATGATAGAAAAAACAAATCACAAAAAACTGCTAAATTTTAACCAAACAGCATTTAAAGAATCTAAGACTTAATCTTCCCTACAAGTCGAAAACCTAATAAATCATTTGCGAGAAATATATACGGTCATTGAATGACCGAATAGGACGAAGTGCGAATACATATCTGGAACATAAATGCTTTGAATGTACGTAAGTACATAGGTAAATGTGGTATGATGCAGCACACATATGCGTACATATGTATTATATTCGTGAATGTGTGTATATATATAGTCAGTGTCGTTGTAGGTATACGCCCTTAACCAGTGGCGTGGCGTATCTCGGCACGGTGGAGACAGACGCGGACAATGGAATCAACCGAGGACAATGCCGAATAATTTAGAATGGCATATAGATATTGAGCTTCCGGCCTACGTTGGTTGGTGCATAATAGAGAATAGGAGCAATAGGACACAGCCTGCAGGGCAACTGTGGAGGACACGAAACATCGCTATAAATTAGGCTTAGCCGCTTATTCTAACGTATATATATGTGTGTGCTTCCAACTCCTGTTACACACTACCTGTATCTTGTTGTCATTCATTTATTATTCAAAAAGTAGAACAAAATCAATTACTTTTACATTCTTGTATATACAATAGAAACAGTTTTGTTAGCATGTTTCTTCAGTGCCGGTGGTCTTTGAATTTTGTAGCATATATGTTACAAAAAACGGAGTTCAGTTTTGGAAATTGCTGAAACCTTCTGTTTCTTCTATGCGATTTGGATGGAACATTTTCAAGTCATTTCCAAAAATTGACGAGGTGTTTGGATTTTTGTTTCTATAAACGAAAACGAGTTGTCCTTTCAAAATTTGATTTTGTACCTTTTCATGTTCTGGAAGGAACTCGTTTTACACTGAAAAAAATGCTTAGGCGATTTAGCTAGGCTCCTAGTCACGAGAGGAACCCACTAAAAATCCAGAGTTGCATTAACTAGGATTCCTAGTTATATAGCAAGGAATTTGTTAGGACTCCTAGCTAATGTGACTCTGATTTTTAGTGGGTTCCTAGCTAAATCGCCTAGGAATTTTTTTCAGTGTAGTTTGTAGAAACTAAAATCCAAACACCTCGTCAATTTTTAGAAATGACTTAAAAGTGTTCCATCCAGATTGCATAGAAGAAGCAGGTCTCAGCAATTGTACTTCTTTTTTTTTTAAAATGCTACAAAATTTTAATACCACCAGTAATCTCTTAATCTGAAACAGTGAAAAGTATACCACTTATTCAAATCAGTGAAAATACAATGACGAATCAGTTAAATTCCACTGATTCAGATTAAGAGAGTACTGAAGAATCATGCTAACAAAACAG